AACTTTGTATTCTTATGTTTAATAGACATATTTTTCTATTTCAATTACTGGCGTTGTTTATTTATTTGTGCGGGATTCCATCCACGGAATCAACATATATATATATTCATGAATTATTCACACAAAAACAAATGCAAAGGTTAATGATTTAATTGGCGAGAAATCCATCGTCGCAAACAATTCAAATAATATACAAAAACCTCCGAATCCGTTATGAATGAAATGATCCTTGTTTCTATAAATTTCTATAAATTTATAGAAACAAGGATCTGATGGAATAAATTCCAGATATTATGTTTGTTAACTTTTACCAAAATCTGTTCATACTCACGAATAAGCTTCCGTGTATTGATATTAAAGGACGAGAGAAATTTGCTACAACTGTTTAAATTTCATTTATTTTCATTTCGCATGTACTTTCGATCTTCTTCCAAGATCATCTTCAGGGGCGCAAGTAGTACAAAATTATATGTTGTTCATGTTGTTTATGTACGTTGCTATACATTACCGTAATTTTTCATTATGCTTTTAAATGCAAACGGTTGACAATGTGCTGTGCAATAATTCCAACACGGAAAAAATTATCCATTCTGGAAATTTTTCCCTCTGTTTTTAATGTCATGGTCATACGCGCATTAAAGAAATTTCTCTCAACTCTTAACATAAATACACGGAAGGTTATTTGTGAGTATGAAGGGATTTTGTCAAAAATTAGCAGACCTAATGTCTGTAATTTATTCAATCAGACATGGATAAAAGAGAATTTGCTGTCAAAATACGCATATATATATATATATATATATATATATATAATAAAAATATAAAAACACTAATATTCCAGGGTCATAATTTATTCCATTGGAATCGTAAATACTATCCAATTCAACAGACCTACAAATTCAAAAAGAAAACAGAAAAAACAACTCCGGAAATAAAAACAGAATTTAGAGAGAGTGTAAGTATGAGGGGAAGGGAGATTAAACCTTAACAGAGAGAATATTAGGAGAGGTGGGTGGAAGGGGTTAAGTAAAAAAAAATGATTGTCGGAAGTCTAATGCATAAAGATATATATATATATATATATATATATATATATATTAGTGCGCATGTGTGTGTAACACTTTATATATAATGTAACACTTCAAAAATATTATATATATATGTGTGTGTGTGTGCGTATGTGTGCGCGTGTGTGTGTGTGTGTGTGTGTGTGTGTGTGTGTGTGTGTGTGTGTGTGTGTGCAGTGTTAAAGTGTTGTTGCATTTAATGATTAACTGATGACTCCGCCATCTAATATAAAAAATACCTATGTGTGAGCATAGTGGGATCTGGATTGATGTAGTACCTTTGATGTCTGGCACTCTGCATCTTCGAGTGGACGGCCATCACTGACCCTCAACCATATCCCAATTCATTCACGTGGTGGTTCCAAGTTGTCATGTCCCAGCAAACCGTTTCAACTGGCGGGCTAAACTCACGGGAGGCGGTGGTGTTAACGCGGTACCACTGGGCGAAGGGCTTCCGCTGGTCAACGACCAGGGCGGAAGGCTTCTTCATATGGACTTCAACGGCCATCCTGTTCGCGACCAAAGTGAACCGCCTAGTTAGAGGACTTCAGCTGTGATCTAATCTTGAAATATATGGGCTCCGCCAGGTTGAAACGCCAAAGACACGCCATATGATGTGCACACCAAGAAACCATTCGCGGAGACCCAGGCTCTGGTATACGACCGTGATAGATGGAGGAGAATGGTGGACGGCTCAGCACGTCGGTGGCCCAACGACACCTTTCGGATTTAAGGGCGAAAGAAGAAGAAGAAGAAGAAGAAGAAGAAGGGTGAAAGAAGAAGGGGGAAGCTACGTTATGGCGGTGTGAAAGTGACTGAAACTGAGATATGAGGCAAGGGCCAGTAACATTGCATGTCAAGAATCTCTAGAAACATAGCAGAAAGCACCAGATCACATGTGACAAAAACGTGTTTTACAGCAGAGAAACCCGGACGAGAGACACCGAAAAGGTAAACCGCCTGGAAATTTTTTCCATCGCTGCTGCCTCTGATGTATGCTCGTTATGACATGGAGAGACAAAGTTGTCAAAAGCGATCCGCTGAAGCAAGTAGACTCCCGGAGCTTGCATCCCCGTTTCCTATGGCTGGGTTACGCACACCGAATGAATGACGGACGTATATAAATGACATGATGTACGGTGAACTAGACACAGGACACTGTCCGATAGATGGCCTGTTTCAATGATGACTGCAAATGAGACCTGAAACTCACGGGTATCAATCCAGGTAGCTGGAAACACTTAAAATAAACCACAGCTGTGGTTGGCACCATGCTGTTAACGGAATCATGAAGGGTGAGGAAAAACGAGACCAACAGCTTGAGGTCAGTCGGTAACTCAGGCAGAGAGAGAACAGACTGTGACCTTTGTCCCATATTCCAACTTTGCCGGCCACAACTGCAGAAAACAACGTCATTCAAGATGCTGCTTGAAAAAGGACTGAATTTTGACCAAACATGTCGCTACCATTATCTCGCGAGATAAACAGATGTTTACTAATTCCTTTGCATTATTTGGCTTATTTTTTTTTTGCTTCTTTCTTTGAGTTAATCTTTTTTATATCTCTTTCCTTTTATTTTATTTTTATTCTTTACTCTTTTATTCTATTCGTTCGTCCATTCCTTCTCTTATCTTCCTATTCCAGATGACGTTATCTATTTATTTACCTATCACTATGTCAGCCATTTTTTCTATCAAAGTCACTTTATCAACAATTATATATCCGCCTTTGTTCCCGATTTCATTCTTACTCTTTCTCGCTCTTTCTCACTTTTTCTCTTTCTCACACTTTCTTTGGCTACCTTTTCTATTTCCATTTATCTCTTTCTCTTTGTATTTCTCTGTTTCTTTCTCTCTTTCTCTTTTAATATTTTCCTTACTCGCTCTTTCTCTTTCTCTTCTTTCTGTTTTCCTTCCTTCCCGCTATTTGTCTCACCTTCTCTTTCCATCACTCCCCCTCCCTCCCTCTTTCTTATTCTTTCTTCTTTCCCGTTATTTGCATCGCTTTCTCTTTCTGACTCTTCCTCTGTCAATTTCTTTCCCATACTCTTTCTTTTTCACCCTTCTTTCCCATTATTTGTCTCACCTTCTCTTTCTATCACTTCCCCCCTCTCTCTCTTCCTCTTTCTTTTTCTTCCTTCTTTCCCGCTATTTGCCTCGCTTTCTCTTTCTAACTCTTCCTCTGTCAATTTCTTTCCCATACTCTTTCTTTTTCTTCCTTCTTTCCCATTATTTGTCTGGCCTTTTAATTCTCTCCCTCTCACTCTCTCGCTCTCTTTCTTTCTTTCTTTCTTTCTTTTTTTCTCTTACTCGTTTTTTTTTCTTCCTTCTTTACTGCTATGTGTCTGGACTTCTCTTTCTACCTCTTCCTCTATTTCTCTTTCCCTTTTCCTTTCGCTTTTCCTATTTTTTTTCTCTCTCTTTTTTCTCGTACTCATTTTTTTCTCTTTTTTTCTTTCTCTCGCTTTCTAGTCTTCTCTCTCTTGTTTCTCATTCCCCCTCTCTCTCTCTCTCCTTCACTTAATCTTTCTCTCAATTTTCCTTTTTCTCTCTATCTCCTTTTTCCTCTTTTTCTCGTTTCTCTCTCTTCCTCTTCCTCACTCGCTATCTCTTTTGTTTACTCCATCTCTCTCTTTCTAACTTCGTCTTTTCCTCTTTCTATTCATGTTTTTCTCCGTTTTTCTTTCGCTTTTCCCGTTTGTTTTTTCTTATTTTTCTCTAACTCTCTTTCTTTTTTTCTTTTTATCTTGATTTCTATTTTTCTCTCTCTTGTTTCCCTTTTCCCTCTCTCTCTCTCTCTCTCTCTCTTTCACTTACTCTTTCTCTCTCATTTTCGCTTTCTCTATACTTCCCCTTTCCACTTTTTCGTTTCCCCTTCTTCCTTATCCCGTTTTGCAAAACGCCATTTTTCTTTTAAATTTATTCATTTATATGGTTGCTTTTGATTTGTTTTTTTCTCTCTCTTGCCCAGCTACCCCAACCATCACAAACCCCTTTTCAAAAACCATTCCTCATTCACTGTAGTTTTTGCTTTCCATTTTACAGGAACTATCAAGGATTAGGTTATGGCGGGCAATCTATTTGGTTGGGACTGGAGATTTTCATTTATTTTGTCAGCTTGTCTTCCATCGATTATTGCTTATTGTTTATTATTGTTGTTTTCGCTTTGTAATAATACAATTTTTACCATGTCCGCTCCCATTAATGTAATTGAAACAGCAATATCTCAAAATTGACATTTTATAATAATAAATACAATTAGTGATAAGAGCAGGAAAATGAGGAAGCTAAGAGAAATTGCGACGACTCCCGCCTCAGTTACGACTAATAATAATAATAATAATAATAATAATAATAATAATAGAGACAACGTGACGACAAAAATGAGTGCTTTCTGAGTAAAGTCTTACAAAATCTAGCGTTTTGACTAACTCTATATTTTCTTTGTCTTCCTTCCTTCCTTTTCTTTTTTCATTCATTTCTTTCTTTCTTTGCTTTATTTTTCTTTCCGATCTTCCTTCTTTACACCTTTCCGCCATCTTTATACACTTTCTCTTTTCCTTTGCGTATTTCTCTTTTCTTTTATATTTCGTCTTTTTCTTTCAGTGCCTCTGGTTGTATTTCATTCGTACCTTATCAATTGTTCAATGTCATATTTTTATTCTTTCACAAACCTCCACTCCCTCTTCGTTCATTATTTTAGTTCATTTTTGTCACATTTTTTCGTTCGTTTCGTAATTCCATTATTTATTTTGTTATATATATATATATATATATATATATATATATATAATTTTGCTTAAATCAAGGCGATAATGCCACTAAGACGTAATGGGTTTCTGGGAGTGAAAAAGAATGCTTAAAATCATTTAATAATTCAGCATTTATCACTTTTCCCTGTTTTCTGTTTTTTATTCGTTACTTAATTCTTTCCATGGCTCTTTTTTTCTTTCCTTGGCAACTTAACCGTTTTCATTCTTCAATACTTTTTTTTTTCATTTCTTTTTTAAATGTTTCCTACTTTTCTTTCCGTTTTGTTTTTATTCTCTGGTATATTCATTTGTCTACGCATTTCAACCTCATTTTAACTTATTTCATTTTGTTTCCCCGTTTCCTTTCATTGTTTATTCACTTTTCTTTGTCTTTCCTCTCTCCTTTACTTTCTTTTTTTTTTTTTGGCTTTTTCTTTCTTCTTCTTTTCCTTTTTCTCTCTTCTTCATTTCTGCTCGCATTTATTTTCTTCTTCGTTTCTTTTCGTTTTCTTTCTATTTTCCATTTCTTATTTTCTTTTTCTTTTTCTCTTTTTCTTTTTTCCTCTTTTCCGCTCTGTCTTATTTTCTTGTTCCTTCTCTTTTTTTTCGTCGTTTCCATTTTGTCTTACTTTTTTCGTTTTCTTTTTTTTTTCTTCTCTCTCTCTCTCTCTCTCTCTCTCTCTTTCTCTTACTTTTTTCATCGTTTCTTTTTTTCTTATTCTTTTCCTCTCTCTCGAACTTTCTTTTTCATTTCTTTTTTTTTCTTCTTCATTGCCATCTTCCTCTATTCTTTTATTTCTTTTTCTTTTCTTCTCTCAGTTAACTTATTCTTCGTTCCTTTTTTTTTCACTTTTCCACTTGCCATTAATTTCTTCGTCATTCCCTTTTTCCTTCTCCTTCATTTTCTTTCTCTCTGACATTCTTCTTCGTTTCTATTTTGTTTCTTCCTATTTGCATAGTGACTTTTTTTCTTTTTCTTTTTTCTTCTTCTTTTTCGTTACTCTTTTCTTTTTTTTCTTCGTATCTGTTATTCCTTGCTTTTTTCCTTTTTCTTTTTATATATTATATGCGCGGTACTTATTAGAAAGCGCTCAATATCAGAGATAGAGCTAACATATTTGGTTGGATAGATGTGAGTTTGTGACCCTGGGTTTCACGCTTTAGCGATCGTCAGACAAACTTCCACAATAACACCAATACACGCAATCTACATAAACCCAAATTTTTAAAACATTAATCAGTTTGTCTGACGATCGCTAAAAAAAGAACCCAGGTCACAAACTCACATCTATCAACAAAATATATATATATATATATATATATATATATATATTTTCATTCCTTTCCCATTCCTTTTTTTCCCAATTTCTTCTTTTTGGCTATCGTTTTCTTCAGCCAGTCTCTTTCCCCTTTTTGTCATCTTTTTTCCATCTTTTGATTCTTCGCCTATATTTCCCTCGCCATTACAAGTTTAACCTGGCATTAGTCACTTCGAATTTCCGAAACTAGATAGTCTCTTGGGGTGTGTAAACACCTCAAGAGACTAAAAATCAGAAAGAGACAACTGAAATTTCATGGACACGTTGATAACGAAGAAGGGCTTGGAAAATTGGACACTCACAGAACATAAAGAAAGCAAAAATGACAGGGGGTGCAGTGAGACGCCATCTTGAAGTGCTTATTTGAATAGATGTAGTTTGGGAGGCTTGGCAAAGTTAGAAACCTTACAAAGTGTTACTAAAGTATAAGAGATTGTAGAGATCTGGCATCAGCCGTCCTGGAAGGACACTGTCTGTAGAAGTGGTGGACACTTTTTGAAACAATTAAAAGAAACGCAACAGGATGAATAACAAAGACAGACTTCAGATATTTGATCGACAAAGGGCCCAACATTGGTTTGTGCTAACCAGTGAAAGAGCAAAGATATAAACCGCCCTAACAAACTAAAAAGATCTGGATCATTTGCCGACCGTTTTATCCTGGGGCTGTTTGCATTCGTTCGGATGAGGTCTGATAATACCCCGGAAGGATGGAAAATCTTTGTAAACCATATCGACGACAGCATTAGGAAAACTAAAATAATGAGGAGCCATGCACATTAGTAAAAACCAATCGTTATTTTTTTTTCTTTTACAAGCCATTCCCCATAAAGGTAATGATGATAGCTTTCTACAATTTATTTTTCTCTTGTTGACACTTTAACATCAAATCTCTGCTATCCATTCACCTAAACACAAGGGGTATATTTTTCTTTGTTTCCATCTACTTCTAACTCTTCTTTCTTCAATATGTTATTCCTGTGAGTGTTAGATTTTCTAAACCTTCTTTCACCATAGATTATATCAGAAATTTCATTTTTCTTTCTCCTTACTACTGGCGTGGTAACTCTGAGTATCGATGTGTATATAATTTAAAGTATTTAGGCAAATCAGCCAGAACTTGAAGGAGGGTTCTGGAGTAACGAGAAGACTTGTTGTCACTTGAGCTACTGGACGATAATGTGAAAATGTATTAAACAATAACGATCATCATGAGCTGACTCCAATAATGATTTTTTCCCAACTGAATGAAAATCGACTTGGAGAAAATTGAAACGGCTAACAATCTTCCACAAGATGCCACACACACACACACACACACACACACACACACACACACACACACACATATATATATATATATATATATATATATATATATACTGTATATGCACATACATACACACCCGCACGATCTGATATTGAAGACCGCCAAATCAAAAACAAACAGTAATTAATCCAAATTGGCGCATGCGCATCACAGCCCACGCGAGGCAATTATGGCGGATTTCACTATGACAAATTGTTAATCAGACACAAGAGTCGTGCGATGGTGTGCCGACTGCCGCTTCGCTAGGCGCTCCCGAGCAAATTTAATTTGGGTTGATATTTGCAACTTATTTGGCCATATTAAATAGAATTCATTTGGGATCTTTAAAAAAAAAATATTGCCTTTGTTCGTCATTGCCAATTGGGATTATTTGAGTTGTTGACGTCCATTTTGTTTTTAAATTGGCCGTCTTCCTTTCAATGTAACACTTGTTCTTTCTTTCTTTCTTTCTTTGCTTTAACTAATTTATTTCTTTCATAACGAGATTGTCTTTTTTTATTATTCATTCATTTTTTCATTTACTTAACTAAGCATTCTTCTTTTTTCTTCATGAGTCTGCTTCATTCTTCTTTTGCTTCATTTCGTTTATTTTTCTTTCTTTCTCTTTCTTTCTCTTTCTTTCTCGTTCTTTCTTTCCCTTTCATTTTTCCTTCTTTTTCTTTCTTCTCTTTATTCTCTTTCTTTTTCTTTCTTTCCTTCTTTTTCTTTCGTTCCTTCTTTTTCTTTCTTTTCTTCTTTCTTTGTATTTATTTATTTTAAAATAAAGCAATTTCTGTCTTTCTTTCCGTCTGTCATTCGTTCATTCTTTCTTTAATTATACACCTTCTTTAACGCGTCCTTTTCAAATTCATTCTTTCTTTTCTTTCCTCTTAACTACTTTTTCTAGTAACATGCATCCATTTCTGTTTTTTTCATTCTGTTAAACTAGACTTCTAAAATGTTACGTTTATGAGTCCTTTCTTTTTTTTTTTTTTTCGTTCTTTCTTTCTCTACTCGCCATGTGCTTTTCTCTCTTTCCTTCTTCATTCTTTTCTTTCTCTTTTTTCTTCCTTTCTTCTTTCCTTTCTTGCTTTTTTCATTCTTTTTTTTTTCTTTTGGCTTCCTCCCAGACTTCTTTTCTGCCTTCTTTGCATTATTCTTTTCTACTTTCTGTCTTTTTTCTTTTTTCTTTCTTTCTTTCTTCAACTACTCTCGTTCTGCAACGCAACCTTTCTTTCTTTTTTTCTTTCTTTTATAAAGTTTTCATCTGATATATAAATATATATATATATATTAAATATATATATATATATATATATATATATATATATATATATATATATATATATAATTATTTATTTAAAATATGATTCCAACTCGCGACATAAGAGGTCTCATGTTTCAAAGCAAGAGCCGAAAACTTCAATAAAATTATTTGAATTAAACTGAGTTAAAGAAAGCTCTGTTCCATCTTCAAGCGAAATTTTTATTTGGAATAACTTATTTTAGAAATTTACGTATTTTAATAATTGAAATCAAAATTTCCATGGTAACAGCTAGGGCGAATTGTTTAAATTGGGTAGGCGTGTGTTGGGTGTTAATAATAAGTATCAGTATAGAGTTACTTTCATAGATGTCAAGTCATGGAAAGGTAGGGGTGTCTAAATTTGAAACGGAAGATGTTTTAACCTAGTCTGGCTTACGTGTCTACGGAGATTTATTTATTTTTTTATTTTATTTCTTTATGAAAGGGATTTGTGCATATAAAAAACTGCCGTCACTTTTGTTTTTTGACGACTTCATAAAGGGTTATCTTTTTTGTCGGGTATTTAAACTATTTATTTGGGCTATGGATTATTATATTGTATGCTTGTTTTTAGCTAATCATTCAAACCATAGATTTGATGATGACGACAGAAAACCGTTAACTCATGTCTATTGTTGAATAGATTATTATTATTTAGAAACTTAATAATATGCAGCTTCTCATGGAGGCACAAATATATATATATATATATATATATATATATATATATATATATATATATATATTCAATATAATCATTTTGGTTCTCTTCAGTCGAGGTGTTCAAAATGCACCAGAAACAAGTTTGCATATTTGTAGCGAGTGAATTGCTTTTGTCTATATGAAAAATATATATGTATCTGGGGGGGTGATGATTGCGTTTAGCACGAAACAGTCTTTCGTCTGTGAGTGTTGACTTCAATGTTCACTTTTATATATATATATATATATATATTATCAGTAAATCTGGAAATGGATTGACGTAAATCTGAATTGCTGTTTTTTTTAGATTTTTCACCGTGGGATTTTAGCTTTAATTGAGTGAAGTTTCCCGCAATATGAAGAAGTTCATGTTGAAATTATTTGTATTTTTTTAATAATTTTTTTTTCTTCTAGGTTCGTGCAGATAGATAGATAGATAGATAGATAGATAGATAGATAGATAGATAGATAATGAAAGTGATGATATAGATAGATAGATAGATAGATAGATAGATAGATAGATAGATAATGAAAGTGATGAGATAGATAGATAGATAGATAGATAGATAGATAGATAGATAGATAGATAGATAGATAATGAAAGTGATGAGATAGATAGATAGATAGATAGATAGATAGATAGATAGATAGATAGATATGTGTGTGTGTGCGTGATTTCTAAGTACTTGCAAAATTTTCCATTCGATCGCCCTCACTAAATCAATGCCCTGATTCTGTTTTTATACCGACTGCAAACGTCAAACACAGATATCACCAATCAAAAGCCATGGAGTCCTTTTCTGAAGCCGCCGCATACATTTTCGGAATTCCTAAAACAGAATCTGCCATTTTGTTCGAAAAAATCCAATTTTTGTGTAATGCAATGAAAAACGTTTAATCAGGAATTAATGCAAGTATTTCTGAGAAAAAAAATCCTATTTTATGTATAAATATAAATGCTTCGTTAATGATTTTACAATAATAGAAATGGACTGAAAATTAGAAAAGGATTATCAATGGTCATGAATTATTGAAATTATATAAATGCATTCCTATTTGTCTTACGAAGAAATGCATTGAAAATCATAAAGAAATTTCCATTGTCAAGAATTGATGCAAGAGTTACTGACGGGGTATGATTATTATATGGATAATCTAAATACCCTCATAATAAAACTGCATGGTAAATAATTTTACTATAGAAAGCATAAATTATTTTATTTCAAAAATATTTCAGTGATTAATGATTAATGAAGATATGAATGGATATGATTAATGATT